TTCACTGTTTCTAGTAATAAACCATTGGAATAGCCCTAAATTGGAGGATTTGATTGCTGTTTATTTCAGATTTCAAAGACACCTTTTAGGCTTCTAAAATGAATGAAATTCAGTGTTGGGACTGATGTGTTCATTTAGCTGTGACTTGGTATTTATAGAGTACTTGTATTCTTTGGATTTTGCTTTAATTTCTTCTATAATTTCCTTTGATCTTACATGTTGAGTTAAAAAAGATGCATCATAGAATTCAGATTCTTTGAAGAAGACAGGTGGATTTTGGGATGGAAGAGWTCAGGCATCATTTTGAGTTTGAAAACTGCTTTCTGCAGTCAGGTCCTTCATATCTACATCTGGTAAATTATCACTCAAATGCCAATTACAGATCTGTCCTGAGCATGTGGGTTCATTTTAGTTCAGACAGGCAATTTTAATCACTTCCCCCCACGTTATTTGTGATGATGTGCCTGCTGTAACCTTCAATTTACCAAATCCATTTTTCGAACAGTCTCTCCTACCTTTGTGTTCACTCACTGTGGGATGGAAATGTCGCAAGGTTTGTCATGGTCAGGAGCACCTGGGGTTTCCCATTTGTCCCTTGTTTTGTCTGCAGCTTCCTCCTAAAAATGGATTTGGCGTTCTTTGGTTTCTACCTCAGTAAACAATCCCAGACCAACCTTTTGTAGCTGCTCACCAACCAAAAAAAGACATAATTCTATACTGCTGTTGCTGCATTGGAGGGATAATCAAGCAATTGGGATGGATTTTTTCCTGTTTATAACTTGGGATGTGCCCACTAACTTTAAATGTTTCCTGTTGGACTGAGCAAGTGGCCAGAAGATCTTGAGTCCTGTCCTCACCCTAAAACTCTGGAATATTTGGTGTCTGCTTCCTTCTCCCCCTCCAAAATCTCCTCTTGGAGAATTTTTGGTGGTTGACAATGCTTTTTTTTTGTAGCCAAAGTTGTATTTTTTATCCCTTGGCTTTTCTAGAGGAAATGAGATGGAAATGGCAGCAGTGGGGCYGACTGCTTTCCCGTGGCTCTGGTTCCAGGCGTGTGGCTCCTTGTTTTTAGGAGGCAGCAGCATTCCAGAGCTTTATTTGCATGTCAGGTTTKCCTCCAAGCTGTTTGTGGTTGATGAGCTCATGCCTGAGGGCACTTTGCCATCAGAGTATTCCCATTTTTTCCCAGTTCCGTTGTCTTTACACCCTGCCAGGATCCTGTGGCACTGATGGAACCCRTGGTGTCATTTTTATTCCCTCTGATGCACGAAATTCTCTCAGGATGAGGTGTTGGTGCTGCTTTGATGGTTCTTCCAGGGTATTTGTGGGTTAAATCCTGGAGGGAATGGATGGGGCAGCCCCAGAGTGCAGGGAACAGCTTCCTGCGCTCCTGTGGGATTGTGCAGAGTGTGAGAGGCAGGGAGAGGCCAAAATCACGGAATATCTGAGGGTGGAGAAGCCCTTTCAGATGTCCCATCCCCAGGGCCGTGCTCACCTTGTCCCCACATCCTCAGGGGCCACAGCCATGGTCCTGGGACACCTCCAGGGATGGGGACTCCAAAGCTCCCTGGGCAGCCCCTGCCAAGGCCTGAGCACCCTTTCCRTGGGCAAATTCCTCCTGGTGTCCACCCTGAGCCTCCCCTGGCCCAGCCTGAGGCCGTTCCCTCTCCTCCTGTCCCTGTTCCCTGGGAGCAGAGCCCGACCCCCCCGGCTGCCCCCTCCTGTCAGGGAGTTGTGCAGAGCCACAAGGTCCCCCCGGAGCCTCCTTTGCTCCAGGCTGAGCCCCTTTCCCATCTCCCTCAGCTGCTCCTGGGGCTCCAGCCCCTTCCCAGCTCCGCTCCCTGCCCTGGACACGCTCCAGCCCCTCCAGTTCCTCCCTGAATTGAGGAACCACAACTGACCCAGGGTTCAAGATGGGCCCAACCAGAGGTGGGGACAAAGTGCTCGGGTGTCCCCTGTGCTGTGGCTGGTGGGACACCCGGGGATGCATTTGGCTTGCTGGGAATTGAGGAGCTCAGAGGTTTCTTTTGGGCAGCTCTGAACCTGGAGCAGGAGGTGGAGGAGAATTTGGATATGTAGACAAAAATGCTTTGGTTCCGTGTCCCAGGGCCTCTCAGCCCTGGGTGTCCCTGGCTGTCATTGTGTGTCCCTGAGTGTCTCCAGGTATCCCTGACTGTCTCTGGCTGTCCCCAGGTGTCCGTGTGTGTCCCTGGCTGTCCCCAGGTGCCCCTGGGTGTCCCTTGGTGTCCCTGTGTGTCCCTGGATGTCCCTGTGTGTCCCCGGCTGTCCCCAGCTGTCCCTGGCTGTCCCTGGGTGCAGGGAGGGCTCCGAGCAGGGCCCGGGCTCTGCTCTGGGGGGGACCCAGCGATGACACCCGAGGGACGGGCAGGGACTGAGCCCAGGGAGCTCCCCCTGCACAGGAGGCACAACTGCCCTGRGCAGGGACCAGAGAGGGGCTGGAGTCTCCTCTCTGGGGATATTCCAGAATGTCCATAATGCCCTGGGCTCTGGGATGATCTTAGAGGTGGCACCAGGTGATCCCGCTGTGGTCTCTCCCAACCTCGCCTATTCTGGGATTCTGCCCCTTTCTGGAACAAGGTGACAGCCTATGGCCCGAAGTCAGTGACCGAGCTCACCAGGGGTGACACTGCTGGGGGTGGCTCTGCTGTGACCCTGGGGGCAGGAGGGGTGTCCCGAGCTGGAATTTTACAGCCCAGGCTCTCCCTTCTTCCCTCTGCAGCACTCSCATTGTCTCCTTTCCCCTCCCCACATCTGTGGGGCTGGAGTTGGAGCTGCTCTTTGGGGCTGAAATTGGAGCTGGCAGTGGGGCTGGAATCAGCTGCTCTTTGGGGTGAAATGCTGTGTTTATGGGGCTGGAATTGGAGCTGATCTCTGTGGGGCTGGAATTGGGGCTGCTCTGTGGGGCTGGAATTGGAGCTGGCAGTGGGGCTAGAATTAAAACTAGCTGTGGGGCTGGAATTGGAGCTGTTTGGGGTGAAATGCTGTGGCTGGAGGGTTGGGAGCCAGGCTGCCCTGTCCCCTCTGTCCCCAGTGGGCTGGCCCTGGTACAAACCCAGGAACCTGTGTCTGTGGCTCTCCTGGCCAGCAGAGCTCAGCCTATTTTTAGTTTGAGGCACGGCTTTGGTCACGCCAGGGTAAACCATGGCGATTTTGGGACGGGGAGAATGATAGGGATCACAGTGACGAGCTCTCCAACCCAACAATTAGCTGATGTTTTCAGAGCTCAGCCGCAAGCGGGGAAGGCTGCACATTTGACAATCCTGGATGGAGAAATCTGTGGTTTTCTTTTCTTGTTCCTTCCCTCTGGTTTTGTTTCTAAACACTCGGGGCTGAAATATTGGGCTTTGTCGTGTTCAGAGGCTGCACCTCACGCTGGCCCTGCAGCCACCGAAAATGTGGGGACAAGGGACAAAACCCTTGTGTGTCACTCGCTGTCAGGGAGTTGTGCAGAGCCAYAAGGTCCCCCCGGAGCCTCCTTTGCTCCAGGCTGAGCCCCTTTCCCAGCTCCCTCAGCTGCTCCTGGGGCTCCAGCACAGGGGACACCCAAGCACTTTGTTCCCACCTCTGGTTGGGCCCATCTTGAACCCTGGGTCAGTTGTGGTTCCTCAATTCAGGGAGGAGCTGGAGGGGCTGGAGCGTGTCCAGGGCAGGGAGCGGAGCTGGGAAGGGGCTGGTGGGACACCCGGGGCTACGTTTGGTGGGAATTGAGGAGCTCTGATGTTTCTTCTGGGCAGCTCTGAACTTGGAACAGGAGGTAGAGGAGAATTTGGATCTGTAGACAAAAAATGTTTTGGTYCCTGGCAGGGTGCAGAGTTCACCCAGCGATGTGAATTTAGTTGAATTCCAATCAGCCTGGAGATCAGGGAGGGTTTGTCAGGGGCTGGGGTGAGGGTGGGGATGGGGCACGGCCTGGGACAGGGTGGCATTGCCGGGGTCTGGGGTCAGTGGTGCCAGGGTTCCCRGGGATCCCATGGCTCTGTTACACCTTGGTGTCATCACAGTGTATGTGAACAAAGTGCTGATGGCGGCTCCACCATGAGCTGTGGGTTTGGGCTGTTCCCACGCTAATGAGCAATATTAATGAGGATATTAACGAGAATATTAATGAGAATATTAGTGAAAATATTAATTAGAAATGTTAATGAGAAATATCAATGAGCAATATGAACAAACAATATTAATGAGCAATATTAATGAGAATGTTAATGAGAAATATCAATGAGCAATAGTAACAAACAATATTAATGAGCAACATTAATGAATATTAGTGAGCAATATTAATGAACAGTATCAATGAGCAATATCAGTGAACAGTATCAATGAACAATACTAACAAACAATATTAATGAACTATATAAATGAACAATATTAATGAGCAATGTTAATGAACAATATCAATGAGCAATATTAATGAGCAATATCAATTGGCAACATCAGTGAACAATCTCAATGATCAATATTAATGAACAATATTAATGAACATTAATGAGTATTAACAATATTAATGAGAAATATGAATGAGAAATATCAATGAACAATATCAGTGAGCAATATCAACGAACAAAGTTAACAAACAATATTAATGAACAATATTAACCAACAATATTAACAAACAGTATTAATGTACAATATTAATAAGCAATATTAATGAGCAGCAGTGGTCCAGGGACCCTAAAGTGTTGCCACCCCATCATTTCCCTGTGCTGGGAATGGATTCTGACCAAGGCTCTGACGCAGTGATTCCAGTGAAGTCCATGAACCATTTTCCTTTTGCTGGGGCCTGGCTTGGGAAGGGCAGGGCATTTTGCTGAGGAATTTTCCTGTTCCTGACACTTCTCTTCCCGAATATTTGCCCTCTGAGTGCTTGGCTTGCAGCACCACCTCTGCAAGCGCTGACTGGGCAAGTCCCGGTRGCCCTTGTAACCCATAAAATCATCAGATTTCGATAAATTCCTTGTTTTTGTGTCTCTCTTTCCCAGCCTGAGACAGCTGCCGTGCTCAAACGCACCGTGGAGGCTCTGATGGAGAGAGGAGCCGTGGTGAGGAACCTGGAGAACCTGGGGGAGAGGGCCCTGCCCTACAAAATCTCCAAGCACAAGGAGCGCCAMAAGAGAGGAGGGTACGTGGGGACGCCTGTTCCTGAAATCCTTTCTGTGCTGCTCCTGGAAAACTCTGGGCACCAGGAACAGCCATTTGGTCACTCCTGTGCCTTTTGGGGTGCAGCTGGAGCCTGGGGGTCTCAGCAGGTGTGGGGTGTGAGTCCTGCTTGGAGCATTTTGGGTGTTTTATTCCGGGGGCTTGCAGGTTTTTGTCGCTTTCCAGTTGTGTTTTTGTAGCCCCAGGCCTGCAGAACTGCTCTSCCCAACATAAACAATATTGAAATTTTTTTAATAACTATTTTTAGGCTGTTTACTGATAAAAGCTGAACTTTAATCTGCTGGATGCTGGTTGGTAGGCTGGGGTTTTTTTTCCTCCAATGTTAATTATGGTCTGTAGGTGCCCTGTAAGGCTTGGTTGTGTTTCTGATGCAGTTTTTGGGGTTGATAAAGTCCAGAATCCTGGAATGGTTTGGGTCGGGAGGCATTTTAAGGCTCCTCTTCTTCCACCCCTGCCATGCCAGGGACACCTCCCACTGTCCCAGGCTGCTCCCAGCCCCAATGTCCAGCCTGGCCTTGGGCACTCAAAGGGATCCAGGGGCAGCCACAGCTTCTCTGGGCACCCTGTGCCAGGGCCTGGGCACCCTGTGCCAGGGCCTGCCCACCCTCCCAGGGAACAATTCCTGCCCAATATCCCATCTGGCCCTGCCCTCTGGCACTGGGAAGCCATTCCCTGGCTCCTGTCCCTCCAGCCCTTGTCCCCAGTCCCTCTCCAGCTCTCCTCGAGCCCCTTTAGGCCCTGGCAGGGGCTCTGAGGTCTCCCTGGAYCCTTCTCTTCCCCAGCTGAGCTTCCCCAGCTCTCACTTTGGGATATTTGAGGTGATCCTGGGTTTTATGGAAATTCAGTCAATGGGAACGAACCCTGCAGTGTGGGAGGGAGGTGCTGTGGGTCCCATCCCCTGCTCAGAGTGGTTCTGCTCCTTGAGGGCACCTCTCCAGTGGCAGCTGCCTCTGCCAAGGCCAGGGAAACATTGCTGAGCAGCCCCCACTGCCAGGGCTACCACATTCCAATTCCAATTAATCCAAATTAACCAGTTAATGAGCTACTGAAATCCTGACATCCTGGGCGATGTCTCTGCGTGGAGCAGGAGCTTGGCCACCCCTGCTCATCCCTGAAGGGCTCTGGGGCAGCTGAGGGACCCCAGAGCTTCAAAATCCTCCTTGGATCAGTTCTGCAGGGCTGAATCCTGGTTTCAGTCCATGYTCTGAGCTCCTCGTGGTGCTCCTGTGGGGTGGGAATGGTGAGAGCTGCCAGGGGAAGGGGCTGACAGGAACGAGGGGGGAATCTCCTGTTCCACCAAGATGGGAGAGAGAAACTTCAGGGAGACCTCAGAGCTCTGCCCAGCACCTTGAGGGGCCCTGTGACATTGAGGGAGAGGGACTTTCTCCAAAGGGGGATGGGTTCCCAGTACCAGAGGGCAGGGACAGATGGGATATTGGGATGGAATTTCCCCCTGGGAGGGT